TGAACTTACCTTGTAGCCCAGTCTGGTCTCAAACTCAGTGATCCTCCTGCATCAACCTTCTGAGTGCTGGCTTTACAGGTGTGCGCCACCAGGTCGGGCTCAAGGAGGGAGCTTTGAAGGGGCAAAACTGGGTGCTTGAAGCCTAGAGATGGGGGATGGGTAGCAGAAACAACCAGGCTTGTATAAAGGCAAGGTAGCATGGAACCTATTCTGCCTGGGTGCAGGCAGGCAAAGTGAAAAGACATGTAGGGAACAAACAAGATGGAAAGAAGGTAAGGGACATTAGCAGGTGTATGGGCAATACATTGTGTCAGTTTGAGAACTGAGAAGTTCGGAAGCTCAACTAAGTGACTGAGCAGGGTCCGGCTCCCAGGGCCTCACTTTGTAAACACCCTGCTCTTGTCCAAGACGTAGGCGCTGGGATGGTGCGGGCGGGGAGCCAGCACACAATGTAAGGGAGGAAAAGAGGCTTGCTCTCCCTCTCTTTTTGCTGTCTTCTGCCACCTTGAGGTGTTGCCCCTGTACCATGCCACCCTGCCTTGGAGCCAGCTGATTACGGACTCAAACTGCATAAACTGTGAGCTAAACAAACCTTTCCTTCCTTAATTTTGGGTGTCAGGTATTTTGTCTCAGCAATGGCAGAAAGGTAAGACAGATGGGAAGATTTTAAATAAACATTTGTGGTCAAAGTTCTTTGGCAATCTTGAACCTCATTGGGCAAAGTCCTTGAAAGTCTGGTGTAAATTTTCAGGTATCTCCAGCTGTTCAGGACCTGCGGGATTCCTTGTCTTATCTTCTTTATGACATCTGTGCTGCCTATTGACAGCTTTGGTGTTGAGCTGAGTTCTCTGCTGAGAGTAGTACTTCTGCTGGCAAGCAGATTGGGGGCTGGGGGAGTCATGGTCCTATTTGAGCCTTACCATAAGGACAGTGGCATTTGTCATCCTCTTTGCCTTTCTGGGCTTCTGTCACTGCCCTGTGAATGATGCTTCTGCTGTCTCCTCTCACTTACAAAACCACAAGAATGTGGGGTTATTCAAAAGCTTCCAGTAAGATACTGATTTCCTCTAAGTGGCTGTACTTTTTT